GAGAGAGAGAGAGAGAGAGAGAGAGAGAGAGAGAGGAGCGATACAAGTTTGGTTGTCACTTACCTGTGAAGCGTGTCGTGCAGTTCCGCGAAGAGAGAAGCGGCCATAGCTGCGGAGCTCGACCACAGAGAACGAAGGAGGCTGAGAGAGAAGGCGGAGGAGGAGACTGAGAAGGAAGAGAGAAGCCATAGCCGAGAAGGTGAAGAGAGAGGCGATCAAAAAAAAAAAAAAAAGAGAAGAAAGAAGACAGCGGGGGTGAAGAGAAAGGTGGCGAGGAAGGAGAAAGGAAGGAGAAGCGTGGTGAGGAAGGAGAAGCCGGCAACCATAGCCGACCGGAAGAGTTGACCGGGAGAGTTGACCTGAGTTGACCAGACGTTGACCAGGCGTTGACCAGGCGTTGACCAGGTGTTGACCGGACGTTGACCGGTGTTGACCGGGAGTTGACCAAAGGTGCTGACCAGCGTTGACCAAGACCGTTGACCACGATTTTGACCAAGCTGGCGCCGGTATAATCTCACCAAGCCTTCAGCCTACCCCTCGCCCTATGGATGTGCACACACCCTGTAGTACTTGCTGAGTCAAGTCTGTCTGTCTCTTCTTTCTGCATTGAGTCTCTTCTGTCTAGGTGTAGGAACTCTGTGGATGAAGGATAGGGCCTCGTTGACCAAACCCCTGCCGGACTAAGTAGGTCTAAAGACTGTCTGACGACTCAACTGTCCCGGAGGACGCGAGCCCTCCCAAGGACCGGTACAGACCGGCGGGCTGCTCGGTGTGGCACGGTAGGCCCGAAAAGCTGAGCTGTGGGCTGCACAACAGGCAGTCTAAGTGTTGAGAGACCTGCTGATCGCATCGTCCTGTTTGCGACGTTAAATAATTCCTGAGGAGTTACGGGGATCTCCTTAAATGCCTCCTGATCAGCAACAGGTCTAGTAGTGAAAACTTAGAGTAAGTCTAGGCTAGAGACCCTAGTTGACAGGATCCCTGTCCGGATTCTGTGAGTCTTTAGATTGAGTCAGTAAGTTTGTCAGTCAAGGGTTAGAGTCCACGTGGTGAGGTTTGGAACCGTTAACCCGGTTGTGCACTAATCACCATGGTTGACACCCGTAGTGGGAAGAGCACTAGCCCCTGTACCCAGGCTCAACAAGAGCAGATGGCCGCCTTGGTGAAAGAGAATAGAGAGAGGAAAGAGCTCCAGAAGCAAGCGAAATTCAAAGCAATCGCAGAGGAGCAGGCGGCGAAAATGAAGAAATTGGAGGAGGAGATGGAGGAGAAGAAAAGGGTTGTCGAGGAAGAAGTGGCAGCAGAGGAAGCAGAAGAGAGAAGACGCAGGGAAGCAAAAGGGGAGAGTAGTGGCACGGCGAGTGAGGATGCAGAGATGGAGAAGAAGATCAGCGAGTGGATAGCCAATTTATCGTTGGGGGAAGATGAGGAGGCACAGTTGTGTGTGCCACAGGAGGAGAAGGAGGCGTTTGCCAGGGCACTAGCAAGGATTGAGGAGCCCCTGGAACGACAAGAGACAGAGGAGGAGAAGAAGTTGGAGCGGAAGTTGAGAATGAAGAGGGAGAAGAAGAGAAGGAGGGAGGAAGTGAATCGGTTGACCACAAAGGTAGATAAGGTGAGAGCCTGTAGGCAAGAAGTGCAGGCGCAGTCAGATGTTTCTGCCAAAATGGACAAGATGTTGGGGTATTTGGAGGTATTGAGTGAGGTCTGGCTGGAGGAACGCCAAGCCAACTGGGGTCACGATGTGGCCCTAAGTGCCATGCGGTCAGGGTTTCAAGAGTTTGCGCGCGATATGGTTACCCACGTTGGGGCCGAAGTCAGGCGGTTGAGAGATAACTTGGGGAAGTTCTGTGAAGGCGCCATTGAGGGTGCCAAAGCAGTAGCTACCGTCGAGAGCGAGGCCAGACCCAGCAAGGACCCAGTAAAGCTAAAGTTTCCAGATGCGTACGGCGGGAAGCCTGAAGAGAATTTCGATAACTGGGAGGCTAGTGTAAACAGTTATGTTTACTTACAGCATAATGGCACGGCCGGTTGCGAAAACAACATGGTCGCTTATTCCAAAGTCACCCCCCTCCCTCAATTCTTCAAGCACCTTAGGGAGCGGTTTGCTGATCTTCGCAGGGGCGTCAGAGCCTCTGACAAACTCCAAACCATCCACTCACGGCAGTGGAGGAGTGTTAAGGCACTGAAAGCCGTTATGGACGACCTGGTGGCCGTCCCGGACCATGGGGTGACTGAGTCCCAATTGGTCCAACTTTTCTATCGTGCCATGCCAGAGCCCTTACGAGGGCATTTCTTTGACAAATCCCAACAGTCCACCTTGACGTATGATGCGCTTAGTAGAGAAGTGGTGTTGTTCGAGGCAAAGTCGATGCCAGTTTCCACTTTCTGGCACAAAGACTTAGATAAGGGAAAAAAGTGGAAAGGCCGTACCATCTCTGGCCAAGTCAGGGCCAAGGATCACATGATCCTTCCATTGGAGGAAGGTGATACTGATGAGGTCCCCTACAGCCAGATTGAGTGGGGACTTGAGGAGGAGGACAGTGACGTAGGACAAGGGAGGTCCTATGCTGCTGTCGCGGCTGGAGGGAGGCCGCAAAATAGAGGAGGAGGCCAGGGCCAAAGGGGCCAGGCCATGGGAGGCCGAGGATTGGGGCGCTCAGGGGGTTGGCGGCCAAAGGGACCGCCAAGAGGGAGGTAGGGGTCATGGTCCCCCGCGAAATTGTCAAGGTCCTAGTCGGTCCCCATGGCGACGAGGTGGAGGATCACCTCAGAGGAGAGGAGGATGGCACCCAGGTTGGCCACAGGGCCGGCCCTGGGAAGATCTGGGCCTGGACCAGAAAATTTGGCAGTAGCAAATGGAGCAGGGGCAGTGCATTTACTGTGGTGACCCTGCCCATATCATCAAATATTGTCCTAAATATAGACAGGCCCGGTGGGCTGCCCAGGAGTCAAAAGGCAGCCGCTGGTAGGGGTTGCAACTGCCCCGACTTCTAGGCCATGTGGGGAAGCGAGCTCGCGCACAGAGGAAACTCCCACACCACATGAGCCTTCGGCAGAGGTTGCAGGCCCGTCCCTAGTTAGTTGTCCAGAGACTGCTTGTGTTAACGTCTCTCTAGGCACGTCCCTCATAGGCGTGGCAGAAGAATTGAAGGAGAGGATGCCTGCCTGGGCCAAGATGAAGAAAGATAGCAAAGGGCAGCTAGTACTAGTAGATGTAGAGGTCTTCAGGAGAGGAGTTCGGGCCCTTATAGACTCGGGGGCCACCCGAAGTTACATTAGCCGTAGGGCGCTGAAAAAACTGCTAGGGTCAAAAGTCCAGAAGTTGGAAGACCCCATAGTTAGTGTCCTCGCAGACAACCGCACTATGCGTGTTGGGACTACGTAGAGGGAGTCCAGGCGTACTTTCGCCTAGAGAAAGATGGGAAGGTGGAGAAAGTTCTCCATTCCCTGACTCTCCTCGTACAGGATGACCTTCCATTTGACATAGTCCTAGGCATGGACTGGGGAGAGGCAGCAGGGGCCACAGTCCACTTGAGAGAGCATGAGTGTAGGCTCCCTAGTCCGTCAGGCGAGGTTGAGACAACCCGTCTGTTCCGTGTGTCAGCCGTAGACAACTCGCTGGCACATTGTTGTCTTAGTGCCCCCGCCTTCGTGCGATTAGTGAAAAAGGAGCAGTTAGAGGATCAGGTCTTCGTAGTGTATGTTAGACCTGTCACTGAGCCTAAGGAAGAGGTTAGTCCCACAGATCCAGCCATTGCCAAGCTGCTGGAAGAGTTTAAAGACTTATTTGAGCCGCCGACAGGAGTAGTGCCGCGGCCAATCCAGCACAGGATAGAGATAGAGCCTCGCAGTAAAACTCCTAAGGGAGCCATCTACAGGATGTCCCCCAGAGAGTTAGAGGAGCTGCGCAAGCAGTTGGACGAGCTCCTTGAGAAAGGTTGGATCAGGCCCAGTTCCTCTCATTTTGGAGCACCAGTTTTATTCGTCCCCAAGAAGGAAGGAGAGCTACGAATGTGTATAGACTATAGGGGTCTGAATGCTATCACAGTCAAGAATGATGAACCACTACCCAGGATAGACGATCTCTTAGATCGGGTGCGGGGTTGTAAGCATTTCTCCAAGATAGATTTGAAGTTCGGTTATCATCAAATAGAGGTCCATCCTGATGACCAGTACAAGACTGCGTTCCGGACTCGCTATGGGCATTATGAGTTTATAGTGATGCCCTTTGGACTGACCAATGCGCCAGCCACATTTCAACGATGTATGAATGACCTGTTTAGGCCTTGGTTAGATAGATTCGCCGTAGTGTATTTAGACGACATCTTAGCTTTCAGTAGGACCCTCCGAGAGCACCGGGGTTATTTAAGGCATGTCTTGGAGAAGCTGAGGGAAGCTAACTTCAAGATCAACGCGAAAAAGTGCAAGTGGGCCAAGACGCAAGTTTTGTACTTGGGCCACGTATTAGACGGAGATGGAATCAAGCCTGAGGACAGTAAGATAGCGGCAATTAGAGACTGGCCGACGCCCCGCACATTGACAGAGTTGCGGTCATTTCTAGGCTTAGCTAATTATTACAGGGAACTTCTCTACTATCGCCGCTCCCTTGCGCAGGTTGCTCAAGAAAGAGGCAATCTGGCAATGGGATAAAGACTGTACGTCTGCGCTAAAGAAACTAAAGCACGCATTGATAGAGTATCCTGTCCTCAAGGTACCAGATCCGTCTTTGCCATTTGTCGTCACCACGGACGCGAGTCAGTATGGAATAGGCGCCGTGTTGCAGCAGGATGACGACAACGGCTACAGACCCGTAGAGTTCATGTCAGCGAGGATGCCCTCGGAGAAGGTAGCTACCTCCAAGTACGAGAGAGAACTCTACGCTCTCAGGCAGGCTTTAGAGCACTGGAAGCATTACCTGCTTGGGAGGCACTTCAAAGTGTATTCAGACCACGAGACGCTTAGATGGTTAAAGACACAGGCCAAGATGACACCTAAGTTGACTAGGTGGGCCGCTGAGATAGACCAGTATGACTTTGAGCTCAAGCCAGTGAAGGGTAAGTACAATGTAGTTGCGGATGCTCTGAGTAGGAGATCAGACTACTTTGGAGCTATAGTTCACTATCTGGACATAGGGAGTGACCTGCAAGAGAAAGTTAGACAGGCGTATGCATTCCTCAAGAGAGTCAAGGAGGCCCCAGAGACAGAGCTAGATTACCGGAATACAGAGGGTTTACTATTCGAGAAGACTAACGTAGTAGACCACCTATGCATTCCCAACAGCGAGGAAATCCGCAGTCTGATCCTAGGGGAATGCCATGATACGGAGGGACACTTTGGTTGGCAAAAGACTTTAGCCAACCTTAAGCACGCGTACACCTGGCCAGGAATGAAGAACGACTGCATCGAGTATGTCCGCAGTTGTAAAGTCTGTGAGAGGAACAAAACCACAACGCGTGCCCCTCTAGGTCTTCTCAGACCCTTGCCCATTCCAGACCAGCCTTGAGATTCAGTCTCCATTGACTTCATGGATGCCAGTGTCAAGAGTAGACACGGCAAGAGCCAAGTTATGGTCGTAGTTGATAGGTTTAGCAAGTACGTTGTTTTTGTTCCTTTGCCCGCAGAGGCGCGCATAGAGTTAGTGATACAAAAGTTCTTTGATTTTTGGGTTAGTGAACATGGAGTCCCGTTGTCCATAGTTAGCGATAGAGATAGTCGCTTCACCAGCCAGAACTGCCAGGAACTCATGAGAGTTTATGGATCTAAGTTGTTGATGTCGTCGGGCCGCCATCCCGAGACTAACGCTCAGACAGAGCAGATGAACAAGATCCTGCAGCAAGTTCTGCACATGTACATTAGACCCGATCAGATCAACTGGGACGAGATGTTACCCAAGGTAGCTAGTGCATACAATAACAACGTGGATTTGTCCACCTGTCACACTCCCAATGAGCTGCACAAGTCCTTTAGACTGCGCAGACCGTTTGAAGGGCTTAACCGGGATCAGATTCACCTGCTACCTCTCGGTACCAGGGAGTTCGCGATACAGCATGAGAAAGAGATAGCCACTGTTGTGGAGAACCTCAGGAAGGCCCAGCATCGGATGATAGAACAGGCTAATAAGCACCGTCGCCCATCATAGTTTCAGGTAGGTGACCTGGTCTGGGTCAAGTCTAAAGAGTTTGCACCTGAGGAGAACATCTTGCAGAAGTTACTGCCCACGTATAGAGGACCGTGGCCAGTTCTAGAAGTTAGGGGCGGAGAGGATGGACCGTCCTACACTATAGAGATTCCAGCACACCTCCACACCTACCCTGTGTTCCACGCATCAAAGTTGCGGCCGTGTGTCACCAATCAGCAGTTCCCATCTAGACAGTCCATGATCCCTCCAGACATGGACGGGAGATATGAAATTGACGGCATTGTAGGTGAAGATGTGTTCAGAACAGGAGGTAGAGGTCGTCCACAGAAACAGTATAAAATCCGGTTTGCTTATCAGGAGCCGGAGGATGACCGCTGGTTCACGAGATCAGAACTTCTAGAAACAGCTCCCGATATTGTTAGAGCCTACGAGAGAGATCAGAGAGGTAAAGGTCCTGCCTTGGACTGAATTATTCTTGGAGGACCTCAGATTTAGGCCGGCGGGAGTGAAACGGTATTCACCAGTTCGCAGTAGCTGATGCAGATCCCGGGACTCGATCCCTAGCCCCCCACCTTACCTGTGTACAGTACCTGTGTCGACCCGTAGAGTTGAACCAGCGACCTGTGTATTTGTAGCAGTTGGTAGGTTGTCGTAGGGTCCATAGGTAGCATGGGTTCGATCTGTAGACCTGTCGGATAGGAGTCCCAGTCAGGTCTAGAGGTCGTAGCTGTAGTCTTCTCGAAGAGTCAAGGTCATAGCCGTTGCAGTCTAGAGAGGTCAAGGTCGCAGCTGCTACAGTGTCGAAAGGCCAAGTCTACGGCCTTCCGGAAGGTCCGAACAGTGGCCTTTCGAAGTTTCCCACGTCTAAGCTGAGGCAAGTGGTAAGGCAAGTGGTAAGGCAAGTGGTGGAGTCTGCCCGTGCTGAGTCAGCAGTCCCAGTCCTAGGCAGTCCTGGTCCAGTCAAGCAAGTACCGCATGGGACAGTGTGCACTTCGGGCATGGGAAAGGGCCAGACCAACGAGCTGCAGAAGTATAAATCAAGAGGCAGCGCCCAGCCATTCATTCATTCCTGCGTGAGCCATGCGGAAGCGCTGCCACAGCGACTTGTGCAAGGAGGTATGCAGTGAGCCCGAAGACGAAGTCGGCAGAGAGACAAAGCTTAGCCATAGCGATAGGGTATACGCGGCCATAGCCGCCATAACTATAGTTAGTGTTCAGGGTGTGTATTTGTGTGTGTGTTCAGAGAGACGCGTGTGGGATATCCAGGGTGATCCACTGTATGCGAATAGAGCGTTGTATGGGCGCTATATCGCCATAGCCATTTGGAAGTGAACTCGTGTCTGGTTGCCATATCTCTGGGTACTGAGTGGGCGCATGTCGCCAGTTTGCTGCACTACTGTTTGCATGCATGTAAAAGTGTGAATGGAAGCAACTCTGATTGCATTGGTATCAGAGCTGGTACCCGCTGTTCCACGCGCTGCATTGTGTGTCGCAGGGAGTGATGCGCCATAGCTGAGGTGGCCGGCGAAGAAGAAGTCCGCCATAGCGGACACCGAGGTTGAAGAAGTCGTCGCGCGCACCTGCAGAGAAGACCACGACGAAGAAGAAGACCGAGAGAGGAAGAGAGAGAGAGGGAGAGGGAGAGAGAAAGGTTGAGTGATACAAGATTGGCTTACCACGTTTCTGCGTTGAAGACATCACTACGGCGAGAGAGAGAGATGCAATGAGCCCAGACGTGATGATACTCGTCAACATTACCAGTCCATAAGATTATCAATCTGCTGATGAATGACAAACAATCGCAAATGTGTGTGATGATAGAATGAGGTGAGAATCATACACAGACGAAGGAGGAGAGAGGGAGAATAAACAAAGGAGAGAGAAGAAGACAACAGCCCACTTCTACTTCGGGTTCTTCCTCCTCCTCGCCACCTCGTCAATCAATAGACTGAATACAATGTTTGAAGTTCTTCCTCAAGGTGCCACGTGGCACGCCAATCTGTCTACATCAGCAAATGGAGAGTATCGTCATCAACCAGGTACGTATCCTCGATAACCACAGTCTTGATCCCCTTCCGAAGTGACGAAGAATCAGAACAGCCTCATCAATCTCGCAGCCCGCCACGTCATCAATCATATACAGGTGGCAGCGGCCACGTCAGCAACGGCGCGTGGCAGCTGCCACGTCAGCATGCCCAGAAGACCATCGCCAGCCAGCAGCGCCTTGCCGTCCTCCTCTGCCAGCATAGAGCCGGCGTCAAGCCAATGTCGCAATGTCGCAGCATAGCAACAGCGTCGAAGTCCACGCGTGAAGTCAGCATTCACGCCAGACTGAATGTTCTCCAGCCAGGAAGTCAACTCTTAAATAGCGTGGATGCGGGGTCTGGACCCCGGGTGCTGAAGTACTGCACCGTCCAGATCTCGATGTGAAGGAGGGCCCATATTGGCCAGAAACTGTATTCCTCCCGTCCTGAATGTTGTCTGGGTACCTGCACACAACAAGTGAATGTATCCGACCATAGGCCTGGGCGCGGTACCTTTGACTCTAGAGTTGACTTTGACTGTTGAATTTCCTTGTGCTGCGTTCGGTCACACAGCCTCCTCGACAGACTCAGGCTGGGCATGTCCCGGTCACATAGCCCAGCACAGACAACTGAGTCTGTGCTTTACCGGGGGCAACGTTCTGAGCCCCGGTCTGCTGCTGAACAGGGTTACTGCAGAGAGAGAGAGAGAGAGAGAGAGAGAGAGAGAGAGCTCTCTCTTATACACATCTAGATGTGTATAAGAGACAGGTGTGCACTTCGGGCATGGGAAAGGGCCAGACCAACGAGCTGCAGAAGTATAAATCAAGAGGCAGCGCCCAGCCATTCATTCATTCCTGCGTGAGCCATGCGGAAGCGCTGCCACAACAACTTGTGCAAGGAGGTCTGCAGTGAGCCCGAAGACGAAGTGGGCAGAGAGACGAAGCTTAGCCATAGCGATAGGGTAGAGGCGGACATAGCCGCCATAGCTGTAGTTAAGTGTTCAGGGTGTGTATGTGTGTGTGAGTGTTCAGAGAGACGCGTGTGGGATATCCAAGGTGATCCACTGTATGCGAACAGAGCGTTGTATGGGCGCTATATCGCCATAGCCATTTGGAAGTGAAAGTGAACTCGTGTCTGGTTGCCATATCTCTGGGTACTGAGTGGGCGCATGTCGCCAGTTTGCTGCGCTACTGTTTGCATGCATGTAAAAGTGTGAATGAAAGCAAGTCTGATTGCAGAGCCGCTTGAGGCGTAAACATTTCTTGTACATTAATGATAGTTTGGAGACGACTTCTACATGTGTTGATTGTATCACGGTCTGGCTTCTCACGTGTGATCTCTCATGTGAATGTTCATTGATGTATGCGAGACGAGTACTTGGTTCATTTCAGTGGTATCAGAGCTGGTTCCCACTACACCTACTTGGAGTTGAGGCTCTGGTAAGGAAGAAGGCCGGCAGGCAAAAAAAATAAATAGGGTTTGATTGTGCGTTGAGTTGAGGGTCGAAGTAGAAGGGGCAGAAGTTGAGGACCGTACCTACGATTGTGGAGTTTCACCGACGGAGCGTTGAAGACTAGTGAAGTGCTTCTTGCCCTGGCCTTGTCAATTCTGCATTTTAATTCTGTTGTGAATGGTTGCTTCTCACATACTTCCTTCGAGACCTCTGCTGCAATTAGGTCTTTGTTGTTGATCTCAACAGTCACACTTGTTGTTGTCAATTTTGATCTACCTGTTGACTCGTGAGTCAGAGACCGATCTCTCCTAGAGGAAAGGCTGCTCCCCTTGTGGGGAAGTGGTTAGCGTTGCTGGATGTATCTTTAAGCAAAGTAAGAAGCACGGGCAAGAGCAGCAGGCGCTCGTAAAACAACCGGTCTACCCTAAGACCGGTACTGACCGACGTGCGACTGAAAGCTGACAAGTGAGGAATCATAGCTGTCTGATAGAGATTCGACAACTGGCTAGCGCGTAGGCGAAGTAGGGGTGAGACGTAAGGTCCACCAGGGGAAGGAAGCCAGGGAGATCCCCCAAGAACCGGTACTGACCGGCTGGCATTCCATCTGGTGGTAGTTATACTCAAACCCTGTGGCGCACAGTGAGGAATTTGTCTAAGTCTTAAGAGCAAGCCTTCACTTGGTGGCCACGACGTCCTGATTGCGTCGTTAAATAATTCTTGAGGTCTGTGCTGGCAGACCTTAAACAGCTGGTTGGCCACCAGTCCTGTAGGCAAGCTGTAGTGACGGCATGAGGAAAGGTAATTAGATTGTCAGACCCTGATCTAGATTAAGGTTAGTGTAAGTGGTCAGGACAGTTAAGTTTTGAGGAGTAGATCTAAGTGGTGAGGAGGTGGAGTCAATTTACCTGTGCTGACCCTCGTCATGGACGACTACCTGATGTTCGGCTTCCT